TTTTTTTTTTTTTTTTTTGGTGGTTTTTGGCCAGGGCTGGGTTTGAACCTGCCACCTTAGGCATAAGGGGCTGGCACCTTACTCCTCTGAGCCACAGGCACTGCCCAAGTTTCCATCTTTTTTTAATGCTGCATAGTATTTCATGGTATACATATATCATAATTTATTAATCCATTTATGGGTGGATGGGCACTTGGGCTTCTTCCATGACTTGGCAATTATGAATTGAGCTGCAATGAACAGTCTGGTGCAAATATTTTTGTTGCCAAGTGATTTTTGGTCTTTTGGATATACATCTAGCAGACGAATTGCAGGATCAAACTGCAGGTCTATATTTAGATCTCTGAGTGTTCTCCAAACTTCTTTACAAAAGGAACGTACTAGCTTGCATTCCCACCAGCAGTGCAGAAGGGTTCCCTTTTCTCTATATCCATGCCAACATCTGTAGTTTTGGGATTTTGTGATATGGGCTACTCTTACTGGAGTTAGATGATATCACAAAGTGGTTTTGATTTGCATTTCTCTGAAGATAAAAAGTGATTATTTTTTCATATGTCTGTAGACCATGTTCCTGTCTTCTTCAGAGAAGCTTCTGTCCAAGTCTCTTGGCCACAATGAAATGGGATCACTTATTCTTTTCTTGTTAATAAGTTTGAGTTCTCTGTGGATTCTGGTTATTAGACCTTTGTCAAAAATATACCTGCAAAAATCCTCTCCCATTCTGAGGGCTGTCTACTTGCTTTACTTACTGTGTTCTTGGCTGTTCAGAAGCTTTTTAGTTTGATCAGATCCCAGTAATGTATTTCTGATGTTGCTTCAATTGCCTGGGGAGTCCTCCTCATAAAATATTCTCCCAGGTCAATTTTTTCAAGTGTTTCCCCTGCACTTTCGCCAAGAATTTTTATAGTTTCAGGTCTTAAGTTTAAGTCCTTTAACCAGTGAGAGTCAATTTTTGTTAGAGGAGAAAGGTGTGGGTCCAGTTTCAGTCTTCTACAAGTCACCAGCCAATTCACCCAGTACCATTTGTTAAATAGAGAATCTTTCCCCCAATTTATATTTTTGATAGGCTTATCAAAGATCAAATGATGATAAGTGTTTGGGTTCATCTCTTGATTTTCAATTCTGTTCCATACATCTACCTCTCTATTTTTGTGCCAGTACCATGCTGTTTTGATCACTATAGATCTATAGTATAGTCTGAAGTCTGGTAGGGTGATTCCTCCTGATTTGTTTTTATTTCTGGATAATGTCTTGGCTGTTCGAGGTTTTTTATGTTTCCATATAAAACAAAGTACTAATTTTTCCAGACCTTTAAAGTATGACAGAGGTGCTTTAATAGGGATTGCATTAAATTTGTAGATTGCTTTGGGTAGTATAGACATTTTAACAATGTTGATTCTTCTCAGCCATGAGTATGGTATATTTTTCCATTTGTTAACATCTTCAGCCTTCTTTTCTTTTCTCAGAGTTTCATAGTTCTCTTTATAGAGATCTTTCACGTCCTTTGTTAGGTACACTCCCAGATATTTCATCTTCTTTGGCACTATTATAAAGGGAATAGTCCTTGATTGTTTTTTCACCTTGACTATGGTTGGTATATATAAAAGCTACAGATTTGTGAGTATTGATTTTGTATCCAGAGACACTGCTGTATTCCTTGATAACTTCTAAGAGTTTTGTAGTTGAATCCCTGGGGTTTTCCAGATATACAATCATATCATCTGCAAAGAGTGACAGTTGGATCCTATTTGGATAACACTGATTGCCTTCTCTTGCCTGATTGCAATGACTAAGACTTCCATTACAATGTTAAAAAGCAGTGGAGACAATGGGCAACCTTGCCTGGTTCCTTATCTGTGTGGAAATGATTTCAATTTTACTCCATTCAATATGATATTGGCTGTGCATTTGCTGTAGATGGCCTTTTTCAGTTGAAGAAATGTTATTTCTATTACTATTTCTTTAAGTGTTCTGATCAAGAAAGGACGCTGGATATTATCAAAAGTTTTTTCCGCATCAATTGAGACAGTCATATGGTCTTTGTTTTTTATTTTGTGTATGTGATGTATCATATTTATAGATTTACATATATTGAACCATCCTTGGAACCCTGGGATGAAACCCACCTGGTTGTGATGTATAATTTGTTTGATGTGTTGCTGGATTCTGTTTGCTAGGATCTTACTGAAAATTTTTGCATCAATTAGAGATATTGGTCTATAATTTTCTTTTCTTGTTGGATCTTTTCCTGATTTGGGGATCAGAGTGAGATTTGCTTCATAAAATGTGTGGGGAAGTATTTCTTCTTCTATATTTTGGAAAAGGTTAAGTAATGTAGGTACTAGTTCCTCTTTAAAGGTTTGGTAGAATTCTGATGTGAAGCTGGGCTTTTCTTTTTGGGGAGATTTCTTATAGTTGATACTATTTCAGAACTTAATATAAGTTTGTTCAACATTTCCACTTCTTTCTGGCTAAGAAGTCTAGGAGGGTGGCATGTTTCCAAGTATTGGTCTATTTCCTTCAGATTTTCATACTTTTGAGAATAGAGTTTTTTGTAATATTCATTAAGGATTTTTTGAATTTCTGACGAGTCTGTTGTTATTTGGCCTTTTTCATTTCTGATTGATGAAATTAGGGATTTTACTTTCATTTCTGGTTAGGTTAGCCAAAGGTTTATCTATTTTATTGACCTTTTCAAAAAACCAACTTTTTGATTGATTGATCTGTTGTATAATTTTTTTGTTTTCAATTTCATTTAATTCTGCTCTAGTTTTTGTTATTTCTTTTCTTCTACTAGGTTTTGGGTTGGAATGTTCTTCCTTTTCCAGTTGCTTGAGATGTTCCATTAAGTTGTTGACTTCCTCTCTTTCCATTCTTTTGAGGAAGGCTTGCAATGCTATAAGTTTCCCTCTTGGGACTGCCTTTGTGGTATCCCAGATGTTCTGGTAATTCGTGTCTTGATGTCATTTTGTTCCAAAAATTTGGTAATTTCCTTCTTAATCTTATCTGTGACTCAGCTATCATTCAGGATGAGGTTATTTAGTTTCCATTATTTTGTATGAGCATGCAGATTCCTGTTGTTGATGAGTTCAACTTTTATTCTACAATGGTTTGAGAAAATAAAAGGAATAATTTCTATTTTTTTAAATTTGCTGAGGTTAGACTTGTGACCTAAGTTGTGATCAATTTTGGAGGATGTTCCATGGGCTGATTAGAAGAATCTATGTTCAGTTTTGTTAGGATGAAATGTTCTGTAGATGTCTGTTAAATCCAATTGTTGAATGGTTAAGTTTAAGTGTAAAATTTCTTTGCTTAGCTTCTTATTGGAGGATCTATTCAAACTGCCAAATGGGGTGTTAAAATCTCCGACTATTATGGTGCTGGAGGAAATCAAGTTGCTCATGTCTGTTAGAGTCTCTCTTATAAATTGAGGCACATTCTTGTTGGGTGCATAAATGTTAATAAATGAAATCTCACCATATTGAGTGTTGCCCTTATCAAATACGAAGTGACCATCCTTGTCTTTCCTTACTTTTGTTGGTTTAAAGCCTATTGTATCTGTGAATAAAACTGCAACACCTGCTTTTTTCTGATTTCCATTTGCCTGAATTATAGATGACCATCCCCTCACCCTGAGTCTATATTTATCTTTTACAGTAAGATGGGATTCTTATATGCAGCAGATATCTGGCCTGAGTTTTTATATCCAGTCAGCCAACCTGTGCCTCTTTAGAGGACAATTTAAGGCATTCACATTAATTGAGAATATTAATAAGCCTGGTAGTATTTTGGGTATTGAGTTTTTCAAAAGTCCAGTGGGCACTGTGAAAGTTGGTATTTCATCAAAAGTTTCTGAGTGAGTTTACTTTCATGGTAGAGCATTGTGTTTGTCATTGTGGAGGATGTGTCTGAGACTATCCTGGAGAGCTGGTTTAGTTATGGCAAATTCTTCAACATGTGAATGTCATTATTTAATTTCTCCATCATAAATGAAACTCAGTTTAGCTGGATACAGGATCCTGGGTTGAAAGTTATTTTGTTTTAGGAGGTTAAAGGTCAATGACCATCCTCTTCTACCTTGAAAAGTTTCAGCAGAGAGATCTGCAGTCTTTCTAATATTCTTCTCCTTGTAGGTTATGGTTTTCTTACATCTGGCTGCTTTCAGAATTTTCTCCTTCATATTAAGTTTGGAGAAATTAATTATAATGTGTCTAGGAGATGTTTTATTTGGATTCAGTTGTGCTGGGTTTCTGAAACTTTCTGCTATCTGGATATCAGAATCGCTTACCATGTTTGGGAAGTTCTCCTCTATTATCTCATGGAGTAGAGTATCTGGGTCTTTAGAAGTAACTT